GAGTGTTATTTTTCAAGTTCTCTCACTTATAATAGATAGATATAATAGATATAATATCAAGTTAACAGAGCAATGACAGAGTACCATTACACTGCTGGAAAATCTGTGTGGAAAGTCTGAAAAGCTTCCTGTTAGAGAAACACCTGCTGGAGAGTAAAGTGATGAATATACAACAGCAAGCAATGAAAAATGGAGAGATTTTATCTTTTTCAGGCAGAGCTGAGGAGAGATACAAGAGAATGTCATTCCCAAAGTCAAAATGACAAAAATCATCCCTTTTGTAAAACTGCCACATCCCCTTTGAATAAATGCCATATAATCACTCAAAATGTCTACTAAAAATATTTTATTTCCATCCATATTTGAGATTTCAGCCTTGAATGAACAAAATATAAAAAGACCCATAAAAAAAAAACACAAAGTCATTGTGAGATTTTCAGATGTTTGATTGTTCATAATTATAGCTGATTGCAGTTAATAACCTAAAATGGTATTAGTTCACAGTTTAAGACATCTAAAAAGGCTTTCTTCAGAACCCACCACCAATCTTGAAAATGATTTACAATTTGACCACTGATTATGAGCGGCCTATGTTCGTGGCAGATAAAGAAGGGAGAGCAATGTGACCGCTGGCTCTCTCTGCTGTAATGACTCTACCAGGCAGGAGCCAATGTCCTCTTCTTAATCTCCACTCTTATTCAGTGGGCTTGGAAATGAATGCTGAGCTCTTTGCCAGGAGGAACTGAATTCACTACCAGCATTAAATTACACCAGAAGCAGAGAACGCAAGTCCACATTCAGGTCAAGGGTTTTGACTTGGTTGTAACATTAACATCGTTCTGCTTTCGTTTTTCAGCTAGTTTAAAAGTTTACAAAAGGGTTGTTTTTTTGGTTCCCAGAGCCTTGGGCCTTGCTTGTTAAATAGAGGTGCAATTACCAGACGGTAATGGAAAATGGTGCCATGTAAGGTCTTAAACTGTGGGTGCTTAATGAGCACCTGAGCTTGCAGAGCCTGCAGTGTTGGGAAGCAAAAAAGAGGGTGTGAGAGACAAAAACGTGTTTTTTTTTGTGGGTGAAAGAGAAAGAAAAGAAGACGGAGAGGGAGAGAGGGAAGCAAAGTGTGTGGGGGAGGTATGAGAATACAATAAAAGGCAGAACACAAGAGCAAGAAAACAAATACAATAGAAAAGAGATGCCAGCCACTATGCACATACCTCTCAGAGGACACATTTAGCACAGTAATCAAGGCCATACAAAGGGCTACAGCTAATCAGAGACAGACCTGTTGAGCATTCATAAGTCTGTGTGCATAGTGACAGATCCATTAATCTCACGCTGCAATCTGCCAACCAGATGCGGAGAAGCAAGGGGCGAAACATCACTTATTTTCCCTTCTCTGGAAACATGCTTACAAGCCTTGGGGCTTACAAGCCCTGCTGTGGAGCTTTGGCAAATGCAACGTGTTTTTCACAGAACTTCCACAGAAGTTTGGAGCCATAGTAGGTTCAAAGTAGACCAAGAGTTACAAAGAAAAAGGGGAGTAATTGAAATTAGGTTTTTTAGGGGTATAATGAGATACTGTTTAAAAACATGGCCTTTGGATTTGCTGTCTTCCAGAGAAGTGTCACACCATTGCCAACGATTACACAAAATGAACAATTCAGTATGCTGTTTTTAATTAATGCACTATTCACAGGGACATAAGGCTTTCAGAAGAAACTGGTGGCGAGGACCACAGATTTATAAAGTTTAGTTTAGTTATTTTGGCAGTGGACGTCTACTCTCGGGCCTGATGTTTTGGCTGGGCTGTGGTTTCTTTTCTCCAGTGTCGGTGGCCGCTGTGTTGTATTGACTTCGCCTGATTGGAGATAACCTCAGGAAATAGGAATGGGAGGGTGCCAATTAGCTTTCAAATGAAGTCTAAAGGGAAAGACTTGGAGGAGACGGACTTCCTCCAGATAGGGCCTCAACCCTGATCAAATATGTCCTCCACCCCCATCTCATTTCAGCCCAGCAGTGGTCAGTGCTCAACAGCTCCACCAACAGCTCACAACACACATCCACAGGCAGCTGCATCACCACAATCGGCACACACTTGCTGCCCTCTAGGGGGAGACTGTAAAAGTGTAAGAGGGAGGGGTCTAAGGTGCACTGTGTGTCCACAAGTTTGTAGACACTCCTTCTAATTAGTGAATTCCAATACTTTAGGGTGCACTCAGTGTTCAGTTGTTCAATTATATAATCTCCATTGAAAAGTATTGCTAATAGAATGAGACGACTCTGGAGCAGCGGCTTGTGAAATTAAAGGGGAATTCCACAGATTTTTAAAAACATCTCATTTTGCAATAAAGTCATGTTTTAATGTGAAATGCTTCATTGTAGAGAAACTTCTTACAGACTCAGATTTCTTTACAGTGCTGGTGAAAGGAGTGTGTCTTTATGTGTGTTCTTCTATGTAATGCTGATATTTAAATTTAAACTATATATTTAAACAGTGGTAAGTCTGCATTTACCTGTCCACCGTTAATGTATTTAAAATAATATGTTTTAGGCCAGAAACCTTCTTAAATTATTGTAAAATATCAGACATCAGGCAGTGTATTCATAACCACTTTATATGTAGTCACTTTCTGTGAGGGAGTTTTAGAGGTATTAAACTCTTCAGACATCTGGTTCCTATCACCACCACTGTGAATGATTCTTACTATGTAGGTTTCTACAGAACGAAGCATTTCACATCAAACCACCCTGAATGACTCTGTTTATATCTTAACTGTTTAATTATGCAGGCATTTTGAAAAATAAGTGGAATTCCTCTTTAAGATCAACATGCCCGATGTCCAACACCAGCTAAAGGGGTATACAGCCACCAGCACTGGGCTATGGAGCAGCGTAATCAATTTATTTGGGATGCACTTGCGTGACGTTTGTGATCCAGAACTAATCAACCAACATCAGTACCTGAGCTCAAATCCTCACAGCGAGAATGCAAAGAAGAACAGAGGCCTTTACTACAGTAAAAGAGGGATAAAACTCCTTATTAATACCCTTGATTTTAGAAGAAATGTCAAATGAGCAGGTGTCTACAAACTTTGTACAATCTATCTGCATTACTGATGTTTAATTGTTATATTATTATGACTGAATTATATAGGATAAAGTCCAGTTCTATTGGCCACAGTAGAACTGGACTATATTTTATTCAATTATGCAATATAATGACACTGTGTCTGTGAACTGGAGGTTAACCAAACAGTGGCATGAGTCAACCTGCACTGTGATAGGTCAAAGTGCACCTCAGTGCAAACAGTTAGCTTGTATAAGCAAGACTGGATGTGTTTGTGATGTGAATTTTACCCCCAATTTGTTATGCATCATTAAAACTGACCTTTAAATCTAATGTTTTGTGTTGACATTAAAGGGCCCGTATTCTACTTTTTTGTTGCGTTTTACTTTTTCTCCTGTGGTCCGCTTATAACTTTTGTATGTGTTTTTGTACAAAAGACAGTCACCATTTATTTTTACATGATCATTTTCCACCCTTTAGAATTAAACAAACTGTTTGTGTTGCTATTTCTTGAAGGTGTAATCTGCGTAAAGGAGTTCCGTCCTGATTGGTTGTCCTGTATTGTGCCTCATTTTGAAAAGCAGTCTGGGCCAAAATACTACTTCTAACTTGGTGGGGCTAAATTGCTGCAGTCTGAATAAGCGGAAAAGATGTAAACATGATGGTTTTTGTGACATCACAAAACAAAGAATTCAAAACAGGCTATTTTTGAAGCTTTGTCTCCATATATTGATTGTATAGGCTAGAGAGTGAAGGTGTGTTTTGAAACTAACACTGTTTTCATATGACATCAAATTCAGTTTTTCATGACATGGGCCCTTTAAAGTCAGCTTTAGTTTCAGGTTTACAGTGCCTGCAAGCTATGCACTGTATTAATTTCTAGAGTTTGTTATGATGCTGAGGTCACACGTAAAACATTTTGTATCTTTGCATTTTAAAAGAGCTTCCTTTTTCCTATCTTTGGATTGTAATGGCACGTTTGGAAGCATTTTCCCCTCCACCGTTTTGGTTTACAGCTATAGGTTTTAAAAAGTGACAAATAATAAGGAAACTGTTTTATGAATCCACAGCTGGCAATCAGGTTCAAAAGTACACACTGTTCTATGACAGAAGTACCAAACAGAATCACTGCTGTTTATATCATTTGTGATCTAAGTCAAGGTCAGATTGTTTGTGGAAAACTGGGTTAAAGAGTTATAGCCAGTTTGGCTTTGATACCTGTCAATGCAGTGAAAAATGCTGCTGAAAGTGAGCTCCCATTCAGCATCACCACTAATGCTGTGCCACCACTAGTGCATGTGCACCACATCAGCCAATGGTATAGCACTCTCTTTGAATGTTCCAGCACCAATGAACACATACCTGATGCTGCTCCTAGCTGTAGATAAAAATTCCCAAGAACATTTCGAAAAACATTTCGAAAAGTTTCTAAACTGAAAATTTTCAATTTTGAAATTTTCAAGTTTTTTGACTATAACATTTAAAGTACGATTCACTGCACTATAGAAGGAAAGTATCTCAGCAAAGCCGCATTTTAGACAAATATCAACACAGCTGGCCTAGACGTATGTCTGAGCTCACTAACAAAGCATTATAAATATACACAATCTCTAGGCCTAGATTTGTTAGTAGTTCCAGACTTGTTGATTTTATTGACGTTTTTGAAAGCCTCCGTCATACCAAACACATTCTTCTGACTTTCTGCTCATGCTGTCAGCAGCAAACCTGCTTTTATTATAGTCATTTCCTTTGTACTTGACCAGACCCTCCAGACCTCCGCTGGCAAGGCCAAATGAGCAGCACTGGCAGCTGATCAGTGAGAGGCCGCAGATGAAGGTCACTAAACTCTACCATTAGCACATAGACAAATATTTAAGGTTAGCAAGTACATGGGAGACACTGCGGTTTCATGACAGACACAACACTAGGCAGGTTTAAAAACAGTGCGTCTGGGAGAGTAGAAAAGTTTATTCACAGTATTACACAGTGTCTAAAAATGTGCAGGACAAAATCAGCAGTTTCTACTAAAATATATACTGTAATATACATTTTTACATTGCACTGTCACATTAGGCTACAGTTACCTAAAATACATATCATATGTACATAAGAATTATCTGCAAGCATATTAACATGTTTTATTTGAAACGATAAGCGCTGCTAGGATTAATATCTCTGATTGCACATGGTAGCTTATAAATACTGTGTACAGTGACTACATTGTTTCTACACAACAAGGTTATGGCATGATTAATGAGCAAATATTCTATGAATTTCTGTGACTGTTGCTAAGTTTCTTTTGGTAATTATGAAGTCTAGGCAGCCTGTATGCAATGTTGTCATTAGGTGTCACCAAGTAATAATGCTTGCAGCAATTTTACAGTCATTTTCTTTGGAAGGAATTAGCATCTCTGAACATCACTGCCATGCCAGGGCACTTGGTTTGTTTAGTCTTCCTCGCTGCTGCATGAGCCGCAGGAGCTGTACGAGCTGTCACTGCACTCGGCCGTGTAGGGGAACTTATAGACACTGGGGTTCAGTATGGGAATCCAGGCCCGTGGGACCAGAAATGTAGCCAGGTTGAACAAATCCACAAACACTTTGTAACGGTCACTACATGAGAAAAGAAGTGTCAGCATTGATTCTATCTCACCATTTTGCACAATCTGAAAACCCACTCAATCAGTCTGTGCACTTTTGGATGTTTCTCATTTAATAATAAAGGTTGCTAAATGGTTCTTGGGTTTTACATACAGTTTCAGGAAATACCTTTACCTAGTCTATAATCTTTAGATTATATAGAGGGTCTGTGAACTTTAAAAGGGCTTTTCACACTCACATCTAATTTTCAAAAGTGATTCTTGAGGGAACCAAAAGTGGTGCTCAGAAAACCTTTGTGGATCCTTTATTTTTAAGAGTGTTAGCCTTTTTGTCAGATTATGAAGTGCGTGGTTTGAAACGAAACAGCAAAGCTGAGGTAAGCGGTCACACTCACCTGACAGTAGAGCGCAGGTAATGGTAACCTGAGGAGCCACCTGTGCCAGCTTTACTGCCGATCATTCTGTGTGCCATGCACACGTGATTATCTGGTAGAGAGGGTTGGTGCATGTTACCTAAAAGTCATCTTCTGATAATGAGCTAATAGGAGCCATAAATGAAAAGATGCTCCTTAAACGCATTTCAGGTCATTCATGTGATGCATTGGTGGGTGGGCGTGACTTACATCTCCATTTGGTCATAAGTACATCAACCTCCATCAGATATGTCAGAAACTGGAAAGGCACTTGAAATCGAGGCTCTTCTCTGAAAGCGGAACCAAAAGAAGTGAGAACTTCTGTAGGACATGAGCTGTAGTGTAGAATCTACTGAACAACATGCATCATCTAAGGTTTTAACAGATAGCTTATAGAATTTGATTCCTCACCTGTAAAAGTAAATCATCAGAGCTCCCTGAAGGGCTGTGTAGGAGAGCCGACGATCACCTGTCGAGAAACGATGGAAATAATGACATACACACACTGAAGGTCCAGGTCTTTGTCATAAATGTCATAGATTCATCAGTACTCAAGATTAGTATCAGTACTGGAGGGACGTAGGACTGGGCAATATCTTAAAATATAATTATCACAGTATTTTATTGTTCTTTGGGATTATCTAAAACATACATTTTTTGGTCTTTATAGCAGAAGCACCCTGGAGTTCAGCTATAGATAGCTGTGGAAAATCATGCAGTATAAAATTTCCAACTTTTACAGAATAATTAAACTTAAGCTGTAGGGAAAATGCTTAAAATGTGGCTCAGTCAGAATATCATAATCTAAGAAACCTGCGGGACAGAAAATAGGAAATTTGCATAATACTTTATAAAATCAGGCCTCTGTAAATAGTAAACGAATCATGATCTAACAGTCAGTGGTAGTTAATAAATCTTATTTATCCATTAATAATTGCTACCATTGGGAAATATTAACCCTTTGATTGTAAAAATTATTTGAGCACTATAAATTTTTCACAAATGTATTATGGTTAAGTGCAATCAGTAATATAATCAGTAATATATTGTTTTAAATACATTATAAAGTTGCAGGTATATAAGGTGTCAAATAAATGATTATTAATGTTAAAAAAAGAAATATATATATATATATATATATATATATATATATGGATTAAGCATATAAACAAGCCAATTAATAATAATTAATTAAACATTAAGGAATTGTTTATGCATCACAGAATAGCGAGGGAGCAAATAACTACATAATCATTTAAAACAGAATGTAAATAATTCAGTCATAATTATTACGAAATGTTTTAACTAAGTAAATGCTTAAATGATAAATAAAATTTCTACAATTAAAAATAATTACTGATCAGTCAGTCAGTTAATATTTCAAACAAAATAAATTATTAATGCATAAGTAACAATTACATAGTTGTATACAAAAGTTTGAACAAAACTACATTTAAATTGTGGCACAGGCTTACTTCTTCTCCCAAATATTACATTTCACAAATAGACAGTAAATGTGAATTAAAATGTGCAGAAGTATGTTCTCCATAGAGGATGTATTAACTTATTATCAACAAAACATGTCATTTGACCAGGGGTGCCCAAACTTTGGCATATTGTTATTATTAAGTGTTACAGAAATTATTTTACTGTAGCCTATCACTTATTAATGGCAATAATCCTGTAATAATCCATGGTTTTAACAATCCTGGGGTGACAGCACAAGACAATAACACATTAGATGTGACTCATTGATGTCATTGTTTGACAAGCTGTTTAACTTAAATTAGGTGTATACAGTTCTCTATCAATTTACTTTGCCTGCATGTGTGATTTACAGCAGTAACAGATTGTCAGTCATCGCTAATAATCCATTACATCACGCTCTTACACATAATGGGACCTACAGATAAATTAGACTTTTACTAGCCTTTTAAAATGTGATGACCAGTTCGTGAACAGCAAATTGTCAGCGCTAACCTTTGCTTAAAAGATGATCATGCCGTTTGGAGTCAAACAGGGAGGTGAACATTTCAATCTGCTTCTTGAGATCTTCCAGCATATCCTGCTTTGTCTCACAATCTGGCATTTTCTGTGAGTAGAGAAAAAACACTCAGCAAACTTGGCCCTGTGTAAAAGACTGTGACGTAAAGAGAAATAAAATGGTAGGTTCTGAAACTGTTGTTGAACTAACCTCAAGCTTATGCTTCTCCAACTTGAAACCTTCCTCAATATTTGCTTGCAGTTTACCCCAGAAGTTAAAGCCATCTTTTTCAAGGCCTGGTGTTCTCTCCAGCCATTGCTAGAAGATAGAGTTACAGAGTGATTGCTGAATGTGTATCCAACTGTCTGGGCCAATTTCTCTTACCCACATTAAACAAGATGAAAACTTCATAAAGAATCCACAGTGTTTCTATGCTGCAGGTTATTCATGTATGCAGAGATGTTTTACCTCCACAAGCTGCAGCAGAGTAGGCTCCTGCTCTGATCTGTGCAAAGCTTCACTCTCCTGCCCATGGAAGTTGTCTTTGTAGTGGCGGCGGTTGTACGGAACTCTCAGATTTTCTGAAACTCCCATTTTATTCTCAAGAAGGCGAAACTGAAGACTCTGGAAACCTGAAGCTGAGGACAAGTACTCCCTGCAAGGCATGAACAAAAAAGTGGTTTTACACTGAGCAAACCTATCTTTCCAACCTTGTCAGTCCAGGTGGAAGGAGAATAGGAGAGGTGAAACGAATCGAGGCATACATTCCTAGGCCTAAAGGTGAAAAAGCCCCACAATGAGAAGGTTATCAAACAGAATGACTGAAAATGTGCAACCAAGCCCCCTTGTTGTGTGGCTGGGCCTTCTTTACTGCCCCGTTTGGTTACCTAAAGTCAAAGAAGTCTAAAGCTGTCATGGTCTCCAACACAGCAAACTGGTCCACCAGCAGCTTGAAGATCATGGTGATTCTGTGGATCCGGTTCACCACCTTCAGCATGTTCCTCTCGTCACGAACCTGAGAGCAAAACTTTCTTCACCACTTCAGTACTGATCATGCTTTGTGTGTAGTTCTTTCTGGTATATGTAGTGTGTTGTATACTTTGTTGTTGAATATTGACTCACATGATTGTGGATAAAAACTTTCCTCACTGAATCAAGCTCCCATATAATCTGCTTAAACCATAACTCGTAAGCTGGAAAAAGAAAGGTTATAGTTAGAGATCAATGACAAAATCAATGATAATGTGTCCTAACAAACCGTTCATATATTAAAACACATGTAAGACATTGTACATGAAAATGGATAAGGAGTAGCTTACCTTGGTGGGTGACAATGAACAGGTGCTCATCATGGATTTTTTTGCCTCTCAGTTCACTCTGCAGAACCTGAGCGTTATTAATCTTATCCAGCTAAGAGGAGGAGCGACAATGACTTAGAGATTTGGTCCACATTTGTCTTGGACATGAGTGAAAACACATGTTTCAAATTTAGTTTTGCCCTAATTTTCCATCAGTAGAAACACGCTAAAACATGCAAAAGTTTGGGCGCCCCTGGTCAAATGACGTTTTGTAACATTCTGTCGGAAAAAAAACCTCCTATCTCCAAAATGACAACTTCACAGGAGAGGGAAAACATTTACTTTTAATGTAAGTCAATGGAACCAGAGTAATTTTGGGCTGTTTTTTTGGTCCAGTCATCATGAACTTCATCCATAAATGTTAAGGACAACAGACATTTTCAAACTATGTCAAAAATTAAAAAAAAATAACAAAAATGGAGATTTTGTTCTGACAACATATATGTTAATCTCTCCAAACAAATAGAAATTTCACCAAGGCTGTTCAAACTTTGCATACAACTATAATCTACTTAGACTCTGATTTCGTTTTATTTATTTAATGTTATTTACCTGTAGGTAGTCTCTGTAGGAGATTCCTCCCTTGGTGGCATTGTTGATGCCTTGCTGGGCATCATCTACGTCACTGGATTTGGCTTTAAATCTACTTATAAGAAAACCACAAAACCATATACAACTATTACAGATGAAGGTGATCATTTTATAAGTGAAACGTTTACGGTAAAAGACATTACAAGCTTTTCCTTTTGTCAAAAAAGCACAAAAAAGCTTAGCTAAAATTTGTTTAGCTCTATTTTAAAAAAATAGTTTTTGAAAAAATCGATACGTACTGATGCTTTCTTGTCAAAAATGGACATCCACTCATTGTCTTCCAGAAAACAACCCACCGCTGAATTTGCTGTGCTTCTTTTGACAGGTTTCACAATGTTCTGGTGGTTTGACAAGAAACACAATTATTTAACAGTTTGATGTGTCCAATCAAAGGTCTGCTACCGAGCCCCGCCCATCGAAAACTCTGCACGGTTCCAAACACAAATGTGGAGGAGTGTGTGTGTACACTGCTATTTTTCACTGGATTGTTCTTTTATGTTCTTATCTAAGGTTAAAGCAGGTGGGACATGGGTCAATGTGACTTCAAAGCACTTCATCTAGTGATCACACTTATTTCTAACATCTCATGTAAGCGGAGGCCCTTTAAGTCAAGGTCAGGTTTTTAAGTGGTGGTGCTCATTATGAGTGTTAATAACTGAGTGCTTTTACAGCTTATAAAGTGACAAGAAAGTAAGTTGATAAGAAAATAACTAAAAGGGAATCAATATTGGGATGAGCATTGAGTACCAATCTCAACAAACTGGACATCCACTTTCATCATGGCTAGGTCAATATTTAACATGAAATGCTGACAGAAACAGCCCCGGCAAAGCAGGATGGTTGGCGGACTTACATGAGGAGTTCTGGCAAAGTGTTGGGTTACTTAAGAGCAAGAAAAAGATGGGCCTGTGGATTATGATGAGGATCAAAGATACATACAGTACTGTGCAAAAGTAAGAGACCACCCTTTGTTTATTTAATTTCCAGTCAAAACAGCCATTAAAACATGTTACACTTTAATTTTTTGGGAGATTAGACATCCACAGGCACAGAGAAATGGAAAGTCAAAGAAAAACAACCATTCAAGACCCCATAGACCACCAAAACTGTCAGAAAAACAGTACTTCAAGCTTTCATCTTTGAGAGAGAAGAGAAAATTAAGCTCCACTTTTGCTTCTGATCTGAAAAAATCCACAGGTGTTTCTGTCCATCTTTCCACGGTGAGAAGACAACTCAACACTATGAGTCTGAAAGGATGTGCAGCTGTCAAGAAGCCCTTACTGAGAAAAGAAAAAAGACAAAAAAAAGCTCAACGAATCATTTTAGCAGTACTGCAGCCTTTCTGTTTATCTGTTTCTGTTGTATTTGTGAATCCTATATATCAAATAAAAACCTGTTTGGTTCAGCAAAGATAGATTGCATAACAGAGTTCTTCCACGCGAGTCAAGAGGCTTTATTGTCATTCAATCTATGTACACAGTGGAGTGAAATTACGTTCCTCCAAGGAACACGGTGCAACATGAAACAAAATAGATAGTACAAAGTGCAATGTGCAGATCTAAGTGTGAGAGAATAATGTGGCCTCTGTTTTTGTTGTCACATCATTTCTCCAAACGTGACAAGAATATAAATTCGGCCTCCCTCTTTGTCGTCACATTGTTTCTCCAAATTTGCCAAGAATATAAATTCATTTCCTCAGTCAAATATTGCACCACATCCAATGAGTGTCTGATAAAGCAGGTACTGATTATATAAAAGTGAATGTATGTAATTCCTCCCTCAGTGGTAGATATCATGGGGTCTTCTGTGACTTTCCTCAAGAGAACAACCTTATTCCAGAAAAGTCTGACCGAACAAAAACTAAAGCCTGATCGATATCTTGATCAAAGGTTGCAGAGTGTTGGGTTCTTGTGGCGGTTGCAGTTGCGTAAATGTGTACATTTATGGTGGACAAAACTCAGCAACAACAAAACATGTGCACACAAGTGTTACATTAAGCCAGGTCAAAGGTTATGCTGGCTATTTGTACAGTGACCCCCAAAACAGGGTCAAAGATTGTATGACATGGGCCTTCCACGTGAGCTGTTTGAGAACATTAACAGTAAAAGCATTAATAACTCTCAAAGTGCAATTTGTACAACACTCACTATTACAGGGGTAGTTGTGTTATTTTGGCAACTCTGTCCACCTCTGGTCAACTTACCCTCAGAATAACCAAGATAAACTGCAAATAATGAGTTCATATTTAGAGCACAAGTTTTCTTTTCAAGTGCCAAGTAGTATGTCGAGAGCAGGCAGTACATATTATTTGCTCAGACAGGAAGAATTAACCTTTAATCGTCTGTCAAACAAAAAAAGTAAAAGTAAAAAAAACAAACAAAAAAAAAAAAACATGATGTTAGATCAATGCAATGTCTATCCCTCCTCTCGCGCTGTTCGACAGACACTGTAGAATTGATACTCTCACCTTTTCACCTTTAGTACCTGAAATGCAGTAAAATACAAGCAAATGAAATCTAACAAGAGTAATTACATTTATTTATATACATTTTTTATCAAATGAGTCCTTTTTCTTTTCAGTTTTTTCAATATTGAACTGTCAGGCAAAATAAAAATCTGCAACCAAACGTGTTTAAAGGTATCACCAAAATAATAATAATAATAATAATAATAATAATAATAATAATAATAATAACATACTCTGCAAAAGCCAGTGACCACCCTTCATTTATTAATTTTCAGTCAAAACACCAATGAAGAAAAAGTTCAAAAGAACAAAAAAATCATTGAGTACTGTGCAAAAGTTTTAGGCACCTGAAATAACATTAATACAATAAGTAGTGATTTTACATGTGTCAGTGTGTTTGTTTAGCTCTTTCCAGCCCTCTCCTCAAAGTAGATCAGCATTACCTGAAGCATTGATGATCCTGGTTTGGATAATCAATGCTTTACATTACATTAAATCATGTGCTGGTGATGGAATTTAACAAATGTACGTGATGGCTGGGGACGTCCAGGAGACATCTGAAACTACACTGTTCTTAAAATGAGCTCACAGGACATCGGAAAATTACACAGAAGCCTCAGTGACTAAATATATATATATTTTTTTTTTTTCCAAAGCAATCTGCATGGATATTTTTCCACACCTCCAAAGATCAGTCTTAGAAGTTGGTTTAACGTTCTGCTTCACACAATCCAAGAACTGCCAAACACATTCAAACAGCTACACACCCTTTCAGACTCATGGCATCGCTTTGCCTTCTCGCACCGGGAGGATGGACAGAAACACTAAATCAAGTTTCACCTCACTCTCAAAGATGAAACCTTTAAGCACTGTTTATCTGATGGCGATAGTTATTGGTCTACCACATCTTGTACAATTTTTAGGAATCAAATTTACTCTATATTTGTAATTATTTTTCAACTCCACTTTCAGAAACTACTGTTTTTTTCTACTTATTTTCCTTTGACTTTCCTCCTCACTATGCAAGTGGATTATCTTATATATAATCTCATCAGAAGTATCTCCTGAAAAATGAAACACTTGTACTCAATGGCTAGTTTGGCTGGAAACTAAATAAACAAAGGGTGGTCTCTAACTTCCTTGTATTGTGTAATCTTTCTCTCTGTATGAATCTATATATGTTCTGGTCTCTTATAAATCAAGCACGATGATGAAAGAAAAACAAAATTGATCTTTTTTTCATTTATTCCAAAATAATCAAGGTGAAATTTACAATCATCAACAAAAATACTCAAAAATAAATGCAAATAAAAAATAAATAGAAAATAAATTACAGGTGATAAAAAAGGTATCATTTAGAATTTTCTACAAAAAGGGGGATTAAAAGGTTGATTTTTCACTGTTTATGGATCAGAAATGCAATATTTGTTAGACACAGATGATGCCCAAGATACTGACCCACAAGATTTTTTTCCGGTTATTTATTCAGCGTCAATTATTTCTTTGTAACAAATATGAATGTATTTCCCTGAGGAAATGAAACCATTTGATCTTAAAAATGAAACAAAATCGAATAAATCATCCAATGTTTTCATGTAAGCACATCCAAATGTACAGGTGTACATGTACAGTTCAAAAAATTCATGGCGAAACAAAAGATAACAGGAGTCAAAAATGACATTGAACACATACGCAGATGTGCGCACGTTCATGACCACCTGCAGGGGAAGTGTGAGGACAAAGCTGGACAAAAGACAGCCACCATTTACACAGGCATTTCTATGGATGTCTATGCTTATATCTCATAATAGCATCATCTGACATTCTGCCTAGTGCAGGACAGAAAACAAACAACCTCATTGTCCAAGACAGCATGCTATTCACCCTTAATTGATTTTCTGTACCTTTTTCAGAGAGCTAAGTATCTCAACTTACAACCGACTAAAACGAAGTTCAGGACACCTAAGTATCTACGTTGCAGGTATGCAAGATATTGGATTAGCGCTTTAAGGTGCAGGCGTGCAGGGAAATCATCCCCTAGCACTCATAGAAGTGAAGTAAAGAAGCTATGTCCACACAAAAAATAGCCTCCAACAGTAACTGATTTAAATAAAAAAAAAAAATAAAATAAAAGTTTGACAACAATAAAATAAGAGTAAGAACAATCAAATGCTTTCCCCAATCCCAAAAGCATTGCTTACATGCGGGTTGTTGCGTGACAGGGACAAAGCACCCAAGGGATTGTCATGTATGTGAGCCAGATCCAGTGCATGATGATCTTAAACTTTGCAGAATCCCTTATGCATCTGTTCTTCTTTTAGGTTCCTTGGGGCATTACATGATAAAAACACACTGAGATAAAGATTTTGTACGTTTTTGAACGCACTGATACTGTAGACGATTCGTCCATATCATCTAAAACAATTACAGTAATAAATTTAATCAATTCCTCCTCACGGAAATGCCCGAACAGATTCCGTTTGCGCTAGTGACATGGACACTCAGCTATGGAACAATCAGCGACAATTACGCGGACATCACAAACATATACAGACAGTAGAACGTGATCACTTATAATACGAAACAGTACCAAAGGATAACAAAGGAAAAAAACTTCTAAAGCTACAGCCCTTATTTAGATAAAACCAAAAAATAATAATCAAGGCCCCAAACACAAAATATCGACAGCTGATTCTGAAGCCAAGTTCGAGCAAGCATAAATAGACGTACATTTTTCAGACAGATATCTAGGCAGCAAAAGCCTACGAGTCAACAATAAAATATCAATCACTTTCAGAGAAGTTATGCTGGCTGATCTAGTTTTGACTGTGCTTTCCACACACAATCTACTTTTGTTCCAGATATTTTTATTATGTCAGTTTTCTCTTTCAATAGCACAATACAGACATTGCACCAAAGGTTCATGGGAAGCTGTTGAACATTTCAGACGTTTCTTTCAAGGAACGCCTGGCTGCGTCTTTGTCCAATTCATACGTACGTGAACCCGTATGATTTGATTTTGTGGATCAAGTAAAGAGAAAAAGAGGTCACAGATTTCTGAAGATGGTTCGGCACACCAAAAATGTATCACTAAGGAAGTAGTCAAAAGAAAAATTAACAAACCAATAACCATCTAGTAGAAAGGTTACTGACTTGCGTTAGTGTCCAACAACCACAGTCCTAATGTGACGTTCATCACTGAGTTAAGCATGTTCAGGTATTTTAGTTGGCTTTTGCTTTCACAAAATACAAACTGTTTAGCATCAGTCATACTGAAAAACTGAGAAGGCTAACTTTACTGATACTGCATACGATACAAATATGCTTTCAAATGCTTGTGTAGAACTGAAATGTTAAAAGCAGCACTTGCATTATTTTGAATGACTCTGGAAATACAGACCTGTTTAAAAAAAAACAAAAAAAAACCAGACTTTGGATCTAAATCTGTCGATTATGTCTTTCTAGGATGAACATACACGACATAAGATTCTAAATTCTTACTGATATGTCGCTACAATGTAAAATGAACACAGACATTTAATGAGTTTGAGATCTCAACAATACTGCATGTTGACGGCAGGAGGATTGAACTACACAGAGTATTAACAATGTTGCAAGCGTATGTTTGGCGGAACGTGGAGTCAGGCGAGAGGTAGCCTTGATTTTCCTGTATTTGCTGCACCATTGACAAATTTCACATATAAATTCAAATATGTGTGTATTATCTATATTGCTGGAGTATAACTGAATTCGCCTTCCAGGTTATAACGCCTTTGCTAACAGCTCTGCTTTTATGGAGGAAAGACAAATATCTCGTGGTAGAATTTGTCTAGTTTTTATGGATACTGCTGCAAATGTGTGGATTGGAGAATCAATATTCTCCTGATTTAGTCTTTTCTCTGGACTTCAGATGCAAATAAGGAATTTATAGTGGTTGGAGCAGAAACTATGCTGGAGGTTACTGCAACAGTTCTATAGCCTCAGGATTTTTGCAAAATGGAAATGCTAAAGTCAACAACCTTTCGGTGTTTTGTCTTAACTGGCCCCCCCAAATGCTTCTCGGGAACTACAAATATTCAGTGTCTACTGGCCATCTCACTGGCTGGCCACTGTGCTGATTCAGACTGCCATATGTGAATGTATAGTTTTCAAATGAGCATTTAACCACTGAGTGAGAACCGGCCATATTCATATGAGTTGTCTCTCCTGACTGGCACTCAAGCTAGCACTGCTAACAAGTTTACCAACTGGCCATGCCCAAAGGTATCATCTATGCCCTTTTAAGAGAGTACACATGGCCTTTCACTAAAATAATCACTCTATTCTTCCATGGGAAGAAATACAAAAAGGAAAAGATCTTGCATGTTTACAGATATTTTTAAAAATGGCTGCAAATACTGTATGCTGAAGCTGTTACAGTTTGGTTGGCTCCACATGCAGATTGCTGACGATGTTTCCAAGGGTTTAACATGCAGCCCCTACCCCACAGCCCATTCAACATTAAACACGTGGCTAACAGGACGATGCATCAAGTTCGGTCTGGAGTATCCAGCTCCATCACCAAATTAGTTCCGATAATTAGTTCTGTGACAACAGTATGAACCATTCCTTGTGAAAATGAAGGTAATTATTGTTGACCGTTGAGTCCATGTTGACTGACGCTGGTCTCACGTATGTAGACCACACCCCCTGGGGCGACGCATCCACAGTTCCAGTCCATGGTGCCCACCTGCATTAATTAAGGGGCAGGAGAAGGGGGACTGAAGCAGCACAAAAAGGGGAAAACAGCACACACACTGACTGTGTGAATGCTATCTCACAACATCGTAGCTATTCCTCTGGATAAACAGAAAAATGCTGTTTGTTTCCTAACTTTGGGAGCCTGCCCTCCCATAACTTATGTGGGACATTTCTCATCAAAAAGTCTTTTTAGAAGAATCCAAAAGCATCCCCCACCAGTGGTGATCCCAGTGTAATGTGAAAGCAGTTTAAGCAAGGCGGGGGCTAGGAAGTAGACATGATTTGGTATGAGCCATTTTCTGGCAGAGAGGGAGGTTTGGCTTCTGTGGTGGTTTTGGGTTTGGGGGGCCAGTCTGGGTCCACACTCAGCTCTTGGGCCAGATGCATGTAACGTGCTTTGGGCACCCTCCTCCGCTGGCAGCAAAGCCAGGAGAAGTGCTTGGATCCACAGTAGTCTAGTCCTCCCTACACACACACACACACACACACACGTACACAAACACGCACGCACGTACAATAAAACAGGAAAAAACACAGGGAAGAAGAAAGGAAAGGAAGAAAAGATGTTTTCATCTGCTCTTCATTCATACTGAATTTTCAAGTTGAGATGGTTTTGGGCAATGCTAAAGACGACAGAAAACAGAAATAAAACATTGCGTTTGTGAATACATGTAAAGCAAATATCTTTTTTTTTTAACGTGCCCTCGCCCACTTTGACCACGTGAAAGCAAAAGTCCTCTATAGAGAAAACACGTCTGCACATTTTATTTTGTAAATTCATTTGCATGTACAACGGATATGGTTATGCTTAGCAAATAAAAAGAAAGTGTACTTTAAAATTTGCAGAAAGTTGCCATATATAAGTTTGTTTACTGCAGAAGATTTAATTTTAATTAGAAAATCGACATAAACGTAATTCGACCAGGTATATCTCAACTTTTACATACCACTGTGCAAAACACTATGCTGATGAGCAAAGTGATGAAGTTGTATAACAGATGGAGCAGTCTGCAACCTAAAGCTCAGCAAATTGAATTTTGATATGTTAAACATTTTGAAGTAATTTCCTGCCCTGACTTAAAAACAGCTTTGTCCACCATTTTTTTCGGGTTTGAAAAGCAAAAGCACCAGGTTTCTGGACAAGTTCTGCTGCCAAATCTCTCACGCCTCCACTTCACTTAAGCTAATAAGGAATGGAATGGACCATAAGATGGTGTCATGGATTCCCCCAAGTGGGCGAGGGCTTGTTAAAACCAGTGTTGAAACGGGGCAGATCACATCTCTGATCTTACGTTGAATTATACTTCTTGCATTATACTGAGTAGTTAAATGGACTGACCACAGGTGCTTTTTTCAGTGGATTTTAAACCAATGCCAATGTTAAAATGTAGCACTGACCCCAGATCTGGACAGCATAAAACCAAACAGGGAAAACCCTTTAACCCTTTCGTTTAGTCTCTGGTGGAAACATACCTGGACCATGATCCCCAATGCACCCAGCTCTAATAGAGAGAAAGCGTTCAAGATGCATGCAGAGGTTGCTCAGAGTAGCCACTACACAGGAAGCATTAGAGGAATTAGAGGAAGAAAGAAGTTTGGGGGTAATCGAAACCTCCACAGTATGATGTACAAGAGATGCCCACTAGGGGGACCCAAAGTAGCGTTCAAGAAATCACGTTTGCGCATGCATAAGTCAAACGTTACAACAGGGTGCTGAGTCACACAGTGCAGAAAAGTCAGGAGGACGAAAAGAGAGACAGAGAGAGACAGAGGGTGAAAAAGGGAGAGGGGGGGGGAGAGGGGGGGGGAGAGGGGAGAGGGGGGGGGGAGGGGGGGGAGAGGGGGGGGGGAGAGGGGGGGGGAGAGGGGAGGGGGGGAGAGGGGAGGGGGGGGGAGAGAGGGGGGGGAGAGGGGGGGGGAGGGGGAGAGAGTCAAAGAGAGAGGGGGACACGAGGATGTGAAAAAGGCAACGGTGAACAGAAGTGTCAGATTTCCCAACCTGTGGTGGCGGGGCGGCTGGTAGGACGCCATAGCTGCCCTGCTTGTCTCGGCTGAACGCAAGCTTCCATAAGACGACGTCAAGGACGAGGGTCTATGGAATATTGCAGTGGGGCGGAAAGAATGAAAAGAGCTACTGATCACATCGCTTTCATAAGATCTCAATTGCTTCAGCAGTGTCGTTTGAGTAGCAAAACTACATAACACCTATTCAGAAGTGGAGTGATTTCAGGCTGTGCGTTAGTCATGGAGAGAGACAGGGAAAGAGAGCCAAGGAGTTATTGTGGACAACAAGAAACCAGTAAAATAGTCAGTAGTTCATCTAAAGAACAAAAAGATTACTGGGCATGTTCCCACTATAGCCACTAATCACATGATTGGTCACGATGATCTGATCTTTCCTGCTGATTGGCCAAAACACGGCGGTTTTAGAGGGGAGGGACGGAGACGGCGTCACCTGCGCTCGGTGGCAGGCAGCTCATTGGCTTAGGAGACTCTAGGGGAGGGAGCTCACTGATAATGTCACTACAGAGCAGTGAAAAGTTGAGAGCTGGCAGCTGTCAATCAGTGACGTTTCCCGGCCAGTGGAACAGGTTCCGAGACGGAGAGGGAGGCATTTTCTCTATGTTTCTACGTCTTGGGGATTCAAAAGGCAGTCAAAGGGAGCTTGAGGTAAACATGATCACACTACAAACTTCATAGCTCAGCTGCAACTGTTAAATTGTCATTGGCTTTATGCAACAGCATGAGAGAGCAAACAGGAATTACTATGTTTATGCATGTATGTATGCATGTGGTGTATATGTGTGTACAGTACAGTAAATATTCAAGATGACCTTTCATTTCTTTAACTTCCAGTCAAAATGGGCATTAGGTACAAGTTACTCATTCCAGTGTCAGAAAGCCTTAACGACCAAATATATCACTTCTGTCAGTATTTATTACGTTCACCCTTTGCCTTTATACAGATTACATTCTATTCTTCCATTTGGAAGACTTGCTTACAGTTCAAAATCAAATCTGCAGGGATATTTTTCTGCACAGTTCAGTCTTAAAAGTTGGTTGCATTTTCTGCTTCTCACAATTCAAGTAATCCCAAACACATTCAGTGGCGTTGAGTTCTGGGCTGAACTGCTGATTGAACACCAGCAACCTCTTTTGATTTGCACATTTTCTTCTTTTTTTCTCTATTTTCTTTTCTCAGTAATGGCTTCTTGACAGCTACACATCCTTTCAGACCCACAGCATTGTCTTCTCAGAGTGAAAGAATCGACAGAAACAGTTGTGGACTTTTTCAGATCTGAAGCAAGCGCATTAAGATGAAAGCCTTAAGTACTGTTTATTAGATGATGATAGCTTTGGTGGTAACCTAGGCCTTGTATGGTGGTTAGGAGCCTCAAACTCTCTATATCTCTTGATCAGTTTTAAAACTCCAGGTTTGAAAATCCATTTTTTTTTCCATACATTTTTCCTTCATATTCCATTTCCTTATGCAAATGAATTATCTTCTATCTAATCTCCTGAGAAAGAAGTCCTGAAAAAGAATAACTTGTACTTGATGGTTGTTTTGACTGGAAATTAAATAAATGAAGGGAGGTCTGACATTTGCACACTACTGTTTACTGGGTAAGTTGACCTATGTGACTGTGAGACCCAGCAAGAGGAATGGGAGGTTTTAATTCGGTTATAGCGTGAGCAAATATACTGACCCAGTGTTTGATGGTTTGGTACAGTTCACTGAACATGTTTAAAAAATATATTCTTACTGGAAAGACATGCATCACACTGCATAGTCATAAAAACATCAGTTACTATTGCTCAAAAAACATTCTAATCAAGTCTAATCAATATAGAAATCCATCTTACATGAACTGAGTTCTTGTTGCCCTGCTTGTTAAACAGAATACCCCAACTGGAAAATGTTAGTATAATTTTCTATTTGCAAATTAATATCCACAAAAAAACACAATAAAAACAAAAAAGAACTTTGTGATACCCCACTTACCTCCACGAGGACAGACACAGCAGCGTTGACCACCACTATTACTACAATAGTGAGACGCCACTTGAAAGGAACACACACAATCTGGAAGAGATGAAATTTCCAGCTCACATTCTACACAATATGGGGTGGTTTTCTAGATAGGAATTAAGCCTATAAGGTATATATTAAATATAATAGTTATATTTCAGGATTTAAAGTGATAATTCTACATGGGGACCCAGTGTTTTTCATGTATCAGGCCTCTAGGTAAAGTAATAGATTGCCAAAACATTTCTATCTTAATCCACAAGATGGCGATGTTTACACTGCACACTGCACACACTGATAGAGATCAATCCTACTATTCAGACAGAAATCTAAACCTGAAATTTTCAAATAATGTTTGTGAACTTTACAAATAAATTACATGTGCTAAAAATGCAAATGTAAGGAGCGCGAGTTTAGTGTTGATTCGTCTACTTTACAGATCACTTTTGCTCAAAAAAACAAAAACAAAAACAAAACATTGAAGGGAGATGAACAAAAAGTAAACATCAATTTCACAATCTGCAGTCAGTATAATGTACTCGGTTGCAATATATCATAGAGCAATACTTATGATATCACACATTTTTAATTATTTTGCAACAGAATCATACTGTGGTACAAGTACTATGATATTATCATATTATAGAGGCCTTCAGCAATTCCCACCCCTGCTTCTAAGGCACTCTAGTAAGGAAAGAAAGATTTAGTTGGACATACCTCTAAAACATAATCGATAGCAGGGACAGGGAAAAGCATAATGAAGAGCAGGAACATGTAGAGGCTGAGCACAGACAACATAAAGGGCCCTGTGGACAGACACACAGACATTACACACAAACAAAGGCAAGTGCACACATAATCACAACTACCTCAGCTGATCTTAACGGATCTTATTAGACTTTCACATCACCCTTCAATATAAGGATTCAAATGCTGACAGAATCAGCATTTATTTATTCTGAGAACTAAATATATGCACTGAGAAAATAGCATTTTGTTTCTGTGTAAATGGCACATTGTGGAAAGACTCACAATTTTTGTAGCTGGGCTGACGGAAGGGTTTGCCTTTGGAGAAAACAATGGCAACGATGAGGTACTGAAAGGAGGACACGTAAAACAGGGTAGTGTTCTCATAGTTCATAATGTTGTGTTCATCAATCTCCGTGAAGTTCTCTGAGAGGTTGGTATGGGAGGAGGTATTGCAGGCACTGAAAGTGAGAAGGACAAGAAATCATCCACACCACCCAGCATTAACCAGCAAGTCTGAAGGCATCCTATATTGTTCTAAACTGAGTTTTGGATAAATGATTTAGGTGAGCACTCACTCTGACACAGGGGTCCAGGGCTCATACCAGCTCTCTTGACGGACCCAAAGAAAGGCGAGGGTTTGGAAGCCCAGGCAGATGAGGATCTGAGTCATCACTGAGAAGAGCAGGGGCCCTGAGATCAGACCAGAAGGAGGCCGTCGAGACACCAGTTCCTTCCATGCAGGATTTAAACTCACTGAGAGAGTAAGAGAAAAGGGAACAACTCTATAGCAGGAACTGCAGTAGTCTGTAAAACTGCAACATACAAAGTAAGGAATATATTGTTTGACTGTCTTACAAGCTTCAAATGTAAACTAGACTTTAAGTGGTTAAAATGCCCATTCCTAGTGATAAAATTTGCACTGGCATTGAATAATCAGCTTAAACAAGCTCAGTTGGCCAACAGTGTGGGACACATCATATAAAATATGAGCGACAGTCAGACACTATCACCAATGGTCTGATGGTGGACCCAAGTTAGTGAACGGACTCTAATGTTAAGCCTAATTCTAGTGAAAGTATACACCTTTCAGGCTGGTAAACATTTGTATTATGAATGAAACTCACTGGTAAATACAATAAGAAGGATGATGGCAATGTCAATAAAGAGGAACTGGAAATCTCCAAGGTTGCTGAGGATCTGAAAAGGGAATTTTCATTGAGTCAAATTTCAATCAGGGCAGGAAGTTAATACCAAATCAATAATTAATGGTTCTTATCAAGACAACACATTTATGCATCAAGGGTATTTAAGAGTATTTAAGAATAGTGGCTTATATAATACAAAGTTTACAGTAGGGGGATTTTCTAAAGATCAAATGTGTAGAAATTTGTGTGGAAATTATTAAACTTGTTCCTTGTCTTCTGGCTGTACTGAAGGAAGACACTCACATAGTAAAGCAAGGTGACACTGATGTACTGGATAATGCTGTACAGGGCCATGAACTTGAACACACAGAAGGATGTGATGAGAGCAGCTCGGCCTTCCCTGCAAACAGATGTTGTGAAGATTTCAGAAAGACATATATTTGTTTTTAATAAGAAGCATACCGACATTTTTTCTGTGGTTTAAAGCAGCTGACAACTCAATTATCCTAAAGATTTGTTATTTGATATTCATCAGCCAAAGACAGATTTGGGAAAAAAATAAACCACAATTCAAATGAAGTGAAAAACTAGAAAAACCCAAGAAGCCTGCCTGATCAGGACAGTTCTGGCATTGCAGACCACACAATGATTGATAGAGGTGTAGAAAGGCAACATATTTTTTATTTATTTATTTATTTTTTAAGTAACGGGCTCATATCCCACATTTTATTTATGTGGGGTTATGTACAAAAAGTGTTCACAAGTCATTTTTACATGACAATGTTTTTCAATCTCTCTCTATTGAGAAACAGGCTGTTTTTGTTATTGGACATACACTATATTGCCAAAAGTATTTGCTCGTCAGCCTTCACATGCATATGAACTTGAGTGACATCCCATTCTTAATCCATAGGGTTTAATATGATGTCGGCCCACCCTTTGCAGGTATAACAGCTTCAACTCTTCTGGGAAGGCTTTCCACAAGGTTTAGGAGTGTGTTTATGGGAATTTTTGTCCATTCTTCCAGAAGTGCATTTGTGAGGTCAGACACTGATGTTGGACGAGAAGGCCTGGCTCGCAGTCTCCGCTCTGATTCATCCCAAAGGTGTTCTATCGGGTTGAGGTCAGGACTCTGTACAGGCCAGTCAAGTTCTTCCACACCAAACTCAATCATCCATGTCTTTATGGACCTTGATTAAGTGCACTGGTGCACAGTCATGTTGGAACAAGAAGAGGCCATCCCCAAAGTTGAGAGCATGAAATTGTCCAAAATTCCTTAGTCAAAAATTCCTTTCACTGGAACTAAGGGGCCGAGCCGAACTCTTGAAAAACAACCCCACACCATAACCCCCGCCTCCACCAAACTTTACACTTGGCACAATGCAGTCAGACAAGTACCGTTCTCCTGGCAACCGCCAAACCCAGACACATCCATCGGATTGCCAGATGGAGAAGCGTGATTCCTCACTCCAGAGAACACGTCTCCACTGCTCTGGAGTCCAGTGGCGGCGCTTTACACCATGGCATTCAATGCTTTGCATTGTGCTTGGTGACGTAAGGCTTGGATGCAGCTGCTCAGCCATGGAAACCCATTCCATGAAGCTCTCTATGCACCGTTCCTGAGCTAATCTGTTTGGAGGTCTGTAGCGAGTGACTCAGCAGAAAGTTGGCGACCTCTGCGCACTATGCGCCTCAGCATCCGCTGACCCCGCTCTGTCATTTTACGTGGCCTAGCACTTCGTGGCTGAGTTTGTCATTCCCAATCGCCTCCACTTTGTTATAATCCCACTGACAGTTGACTGTGGAATATTTAGTAGCGAGGAAATTTCATGACTGGACTTATCATCCTATCACGGTACCACGCTGGAATTCACTGAGCTCCTGAGAGCGACCCATTCTTTCACAAATGTTTGTAGAAGCAGTTTGCATGCCTAGGTGCTTGGTTTTATACACCTGTGGCCATGGAAGTGATTGGAACACCTGAATTCAATGATTTGGATGGGTGAGTGAATACTTTTGGCAATATAGTGTATATGTGTGTGTGTGTGTGTGTGTGTGTGTGTGTGTGTGTGTATGCATACCACGAAAACAGTGAATTCCAAATGGGCTGTTTTTGCACCTTAATTTATATATATGGACTGTATGGAGATTGAATGGTATGTTTTAGGTAACTTCAACAATGTTTACATTCCACAAGCTGTTCAATTAAAAAAAGCTTGGAAATTCAGTTTTCTGTGATTATGGGCCACTTAAATTTTCTGACAGACTTTGAATTTCTGCAAGAAACTGGATTACAGAGTTAAAGTTACGTTCAACCAGAAGTCACTACAGCAATCGTAGTTGTGTTAACACAGCAGCGGTAAGTGTTATTTTCTAATATAATGAGAAATTTCACCAATCATTCAATTACTTTTGATAAATATAGACATGTGGCCAGGTTTTCTATGATAGACAAAACATTCAAGCAACCTGTGCATTTGTTGGCCCAGTTAGAGAGGGGAAAAGAGAAAGAATCAAGTAATAATTTCAAATAGCATTTCAGGTTTACATTCTAGTGAAGCCTCTGGAAATATGCCAACAAATCTAAACTCACTGGTGAATTCAATCAGCAGAATCTGCAAAATGTACCTTAAATATTCAGAAATCAGCCAACTGTGGTTAGTCCTTAATGCTTAAAATATCACTTTTTGATATTTGACTTCTGACCTCACCAGTGCTTTATGCTAGTTGCATGTAATATACAGTGAGGGGAAACAAGTTCAAAGACAAAACAACAATGTAACTCTGGCAGCAATTTAGCTCATGTCTGGAGAAAGAAAGGCTGTGAGTATGATCCCAAGAAGACAAGATCCCACAGTGAACTATGAGATGGGGCTGCTTCTGTACAAATGGTACTGAGGCATTAAACGTCATCTAAAAAAACATGAATGGAGCGATGTCCCGGGGCATTTTAGAGGAGAACTTAATCTCATTGGCCAAGAAACTGAATCTGGGGAAAAGATGGACGTTTCAACAAGACAATGGTCATATTCGTTTTTTAATCACATCTTAAAAATATCTGTATATTTATCACATGCTTATGAATATATACTTTTTATATGTACAAAATAAAAAGGCAATATGTATGTAAATATGAAGTGGATATATGTATTTCAACCCCCTGTGACCCAGAAGGATAAGCAGCTTAGATAATGCCTGCGTGTATGTGCGTGTGTGCGTGCGTATGCATTTCATATCAAATAAGAAAAACCAAGTGCATCTGACTATTTGCTTCCACTATAAATACCAAAACATCTTAGTGTGAATTGTTTTCTAAAACTTAAAGAATCAAATACATTAGAGCACCCTTCAGTATTAGTTTGGTGTCTTTTTATGCAAGCTCCAAATGTTGAACTAGCTTGTTGTACCTGATGAGGTTGGGCACACAGGAGATGTTGGGAGTTCTGGAGGTGAAGGGAGAGGCCACTGAGGCCTCCAGCTCAGAGAGAGAGATGCCACCATGAGCTCTCTTCAGTGCCTTAGGAAAAAAAAGGGGCCAAGCCACTTAGAAAACACTGCTGCCTCACCAAAATAACTGTATAATGTTCTAGATTCCAAACGTCTTACAACATAAAACTACTTAAAAATGAGGAAGGAGAAGTACTGTACACCAAAAATGGACTTACACCACAGTCGTTAGCACCATCTCCACACATTCCAACAAAGTAACTAGACAGGACAGAGAAACGGAAAAAAAGATTCAAAAGTTTACATTTTACATGCATTTCTGTATTTGTTTATGAGTAACTTGAACAGTGTGACGGTGTGTGTTTTGGCATAATACCCACTCAACACTCTGTAGTGTCTCCACTAGCTGGGTCTTCTGATCTGGAGCCATTCTTGCAAACACTGTTCCACGCAAAACCAGCTACAGCAAAGTGTTAATAAACAGAGACAAACATTCAGCCTTTGGACATAGAAAGAAAAAACTGAAATAACAACTAATCTGGTTAATCCAAAATCTTCTTAAAACAGTTGGCACATTATACTTAAGATCTAAAATTATGTGACACACACTAGCATCCAAAAGTTTGGAATCACAATTTGAATGTCTGAAATCACTGTTTTCAATTTTAAAAAAGGAGATATAAAAATAATTCTATTATGACACTACTTGCTACTCCACAACTTCAGATTTCTATAAATTAGTAGAAAGCTCTAAAAATAAATGAGGATCAGAAATATAGATGCCTAAGAAAGCTGTATTTGAGAATAAAATTAAAATAAAATTATACAAAATAATTCTATATTATAAAACAATTATCTTGCAAGCCAGACTTCTGCCCATCATCACAGAGTCTGAAGCATCCATTCACGCGACCAAGAACTGGCCACTTTGAGAGGAAAGTAAAGTTTAACTGGCATGCAAAATAACCAGCCACAGACCACTGATTTAGCATGATGTATAAGGGCAGGCGAATACCAAAATGTGGCCACAAGAAAAACAAACCTACATGTAATATAAGGGTATGCACTGGCAAACATGCTAGGATCTCTCACTTAAAAGCAACCAAGTGCTTAAAAGAAAACTCTTGAATAACTTTTAAAGATGTTATGCCCATGAATTCCAGTTCCCCATGATAACCCCAGATGCACGGAAATGCATGCACATGGACATGGGGATAGCCAATTAAAACGGAACTAGCAAAAGCCCAACAGTTGTGGGAATGCTTAACCTACTTTAGATATCAGATGCTCGGTATTATGTGAGGGCAGACCTGAGGCTAAGACTATAATAAAATTAACATCCAGATTGCTTTATATGTAAAAAGTGGTGGTCAAATCTTAAGGCATATATTTATAAGAAAATACTACAAATACCCTCTTATATCTAGCTTATAGTATTTCAATTGACACTGAATAAAACCGAGTAACAGCAACAGTTAATATGACAAATGATTGCAATTTTCTAAATGCTAGTGTACATGTGGCTCTACGCAACACATAAAATGATTAAATTCTGGGGATCCTAACCTTCTGAAGCAGGTCCTGGAAGT